GGTTTGGACATTTCTTTTTAAAAAAAAATATTTTATTTATTTTTAGAGAGAGGGGACAGGAAGGAGAAAGAGTGGGAGAGAAACACCAAGGTGTGGTTGCCTCTCATGTGTCCCCTACTGAGGACCTGGCCTGGAACCCAGGCATGTGCCCTGACTGGGAATCAAACCAGCGACCCTCTGCTTCACAGGCCCGTGCTCAGTCCACTGAGCCACATCAGCCAGGGCAGGTATGGACATTTCTTATATCAGCAGTGGTTCATGTAAGTCAACAAAACCCCAGCAATTCCCAGGATGCCTGATTCTGGGTTGGGAAGCCCAGCCGTTTGCTTCTGTGGAGAGCAGGACCAATAAAATGGTGTTGGTCTGGTCAAGATAGGATAAAGGCTATAAAACACAATGACGCCGCTTGTGTCAACCAAGAGGGCTGCCAGTCAGTCATGACACTTTGGTTCAAGAAGGAAGCCACACCAGACACATCTGGCAAGTAGTGTTCAAAATATCGGCATAGATGAGCTGAACAGACCCATCTGTAGAGGTGGAATACACCAGGATAAGCCCACCTGGAATTCCCGGATCACTTATCAAGGGTCCCAAGACACTCATTAAGAGACCCAGAGGGGTGGAGACCCAGAGAGGGGTGGACCCTGAAGGGTATAACTGAGGTGGACCTCAGAGCCAACCCGGAGACAGCCTACCTCCACACTCTAAGGCGCTGCTCCGTGTGCGCTGATCTGACTGATGTGCTGCTGCCGGAGGCTCTGCCCTGCTGGACTGAGAACTTCGTTTGCCCCACTGCCGACCGGCTCTGGAGATTCTGCCTTATAAGACACTGACGGCTGCCTGGCCTACTGTGCTGTCTCCTGGACCCACAGACTGAGACTCTAGGGCTGAGTTTCATTACCCCTCAGTTCTCTTGTGTGATGTTATTACTAATTGCGCCTGAGTGATTATTATTGTTATTAGGTTAGTAGTGATTTCGACCAGATCTGCATTAATAAAAGCCGGGTGAACAGCACAGTCGCCTGTGTTGGTTTCCAACTATTTCTCAGTGCCGCCGGCGTTACCTGTCAGACTGCTGGTCGTCCACGCGGCTTGGCACGTTCGGTTCTACAGGCCTGGATTAGACGACCTGAGCGGGACCAAAGCCTGGCTCATAGGGAAGACTATACTGTGAAACACACGCTCCTGGCAGCTTCCAGGAGACAGTGGCAACTTGAGTCCAGTCACGTGACGTTTGGACACATGGGACTGGTCTGGAGGCCCAGAAGGCCCGTCTCTCACAGAACTGATATCTGTGGGCCAGAAGGGAGCGCCTGGAGACCCGCTCTGAGCACACTCCTGCCTTAAGTCATCTTCTCCCCTCTCTGAGACCCCAGACGTCACTCTGACCTCTGTCTGCTCTCCGCTGGGAGAGCCCCTCTCAAACCAGGTCAGCACAGGGCCAGCAACGGCCGCTGTGGGGGCCAGGGAAACCCCCTCTTTCCACCGTTAGTTCTTGTGGCTGGATGAAGAATTCGAAGACGCACAGCAGATAAGGGGAGGAAATAAAATCTTAATACTTGGGTACAGGGAATTCACATAAACATACAAATTACGAAGACAGGCCCTGGCCAGGGAGCTCAGCTGGTTGGAGCGTTGTCCTGATATGCCAAGGTGGCAGGCTCCATTCCTGGTCAGGGCGCACGTAGGAGGCAACCGAGAAATGTGTAAATGGACGGAACAGCAGGTTGTTTCTCTTCTCCCCCTACCCTTCTCTCTCTAACATCAGTAAATAAAAATAAAGAAACATTTAAAAATTACAAAGATAGTGAGGCAAAGTAAGGTATATATATATACATATATATGTCCTTTTGGACTAGGGAGGGAGAGGTAGGCAGTTCACAGGCCTTTGAAAAAGATCAAACGTTTTGTAAATACATTCCTACCTGGCCACCCACAAACAGCGGGACAGAGAAGGGAGCCTGGGAAACAGAATTTTGCTTGGATTCTCCCTGTCCGCCACACTTCACTCATATGTGCCTGTCTGAAGGCTCCGTCTGAAGCAGACTTTTCTATCTGAATCTCTAGGCAGGAAAAGGGAAGGTAGCAGACTCTTCCTGAGTTTATTGGGCTTTAATTGTTTATTGTTTGACATAATCTGACCCACACACCAGCAAGGGGCTGGGCAACCATGTCTTTATCCAAAAGCACTTGAAAATGCTGCAGGTATTCTAATCACCCCGTTAAGAAGCAGGATTCCTATATTCCACAAACTCTGTGGTGATCTTCTGGGATACGAAGAGCCAGCTCAGGCCAGCCAGTCTTCCCTCCTCACCTACCCTTCCTCGCCACTGAAGGGCTGTACTCCAGCAGATTCTCTCCTTTGTGGCACTTGGTGGTTCGCTTTCCCAGGCAGGACTTCATGAGCTTATAATTACACACTGTTTTCTGATTGGTTTCCCATAAGCAGGTGACACTTGTAAAGTCAGGCACCTCCCAGAAGCCCACGCTACAAACCCTTGCAGCCCTAATGATACAAGGACTTTTGAGACAGTGGGGCCAGACTGCAGAGGCTGGTCAGAGAGTGTGCAGAGGAAGGTTTCCAGAAGGAGGGTGGGATGGCCAGAACAGGGAGTTGAGGGAGAGGAGAGTCCAGAGAGGAAGAGGAATTAAAGTTGCTTCACTCACTTGTTCACTCACCTAGTGCCAGACTTACCATGTGATGCTGGGAGACACTGGCCGTGCCCACAGTCTACCTAGGGACATGACAAGTAAAGGGACAGCTGCAAAGTCCTGAGATCAGTGAGGACGGAAAGTCATGCCCGGGGCAGCTGAGAGCAGCTCTCCCAGTCTGGGGAAAGGCTGGGAGCTGTCCCTGGGGAGAGAGGAGATTGGGCCAAGGCCCCAGGCAAAGGGAGGGGGTGGGGAATCCAGGGAGTGGAGCCGGCAGAAGGGTTTATCTGTAGGGTGGGAGGAAGGCTGTGATGCACAGCAGTCTCTTTAGGGCAGGAAATCTCCCAGACGGGAGTGAGTAGGGTCTCGGGGAGGGGGCCCAAGGGCTGGGAAAGGGCCCGTCCCATTTCCTCCAGGCCGGTGGCCTGTGGCCAACCTCACTCTGGCCTCAGTTTCCCTGCTGTACCTCAGGAGAAAGAAGGCCAAGCCTTTGAGTTCTAAGGATAAAAGGCTCAGCTAGCCCAGACCACCACTCCCTGTAAAACAGGGTGGAGGATGCCTCCATTCTTTTTTGGCTGGTGAGTAGCCTGATCATCTTTGAAGATGAAACACGCTGGGCCTAATGGGGAGTCAGTCGCCAAGGTGGGGGTAGGGCTGGGCCGTGGAGCCAGTCACCTGCTCAGCCCAGTCACTTGCCCCACCTAGCCCCTCCAGGTCAGAACAGAACCCAGCCTGGGGGGACAGAACACCTCACATTTCTCTGTCTTCCACAGTGCCTCCCACCGGCCTGGCCTGCTCCCTTCCCTCCTCTGCTCTGGGCCACCTCCCTCTCAGGCCACGGCCACCCCCAGGTGGGCTCCTGCTACAGCGAAGGCATCCGAGAGCCTCCTGTGCTCCTCCCACTGCTCTGGACCGGCCCACTCTAAACTTATGCCCTAGTGCAGGGCGCCAAGACGCGCCACCGCCTCTGCGGTTCCAGGCCAAGCTGGTCATTTCCAATATGGCCACTGACGGGAGGATGCTCTACAGCCTCCTTTATGTGTGTGAGAACAGTTCTCAAAATAAAGGCTACCGTGAGGTCAAGTCGCAGGAGTAGCCCCAAGGCACCTGGAAGTGACACTTACCACACACTGCGAACAAGGCATAGCCCCTCCTTTACCTCTGACCACTCCCCTTCTTGCTGCCCCAGCCCAGGCCTGGGCCTCTGTCTAACCAGTGCCCTGCTCAGGCAGACCACTCCCAAGGCTGCCCTCCCAACACCCCACTCCGCCTTCGTAAGCAGCCCCAGTTTTCTGGAAGTAGTTGGTACAGGAGAAAGGGACACACGGACACTCGTATGTCCAGGGGATGCAGCAGCCTGGTGACGACGGCAGGAACGGCAGGCAAAGCTGGAGACAACCTTCCTACACTTTCCAGAAGAGGGCATGCACCTGGGGGTTCTCTTATCTTCTTAATGGTCTATTTGTGTTCATTAAGTAATTAGTTCACTTATCTGATTTGCAGGATGATGCCCAAAGGTTAGACTTCCGAATTCTCAACACAGCCTCCAAGTGAGCTTTTGGAATTACCACCTTCCCAAATTAGGAAGATGCCTATCTGTGCTCCGCACCCTGAGTCCCAGGGCAAGAGTGCTCACCGAGATCCACCGTGCTCCCTGGAAGCCAGGTCTGGCAGTCCCAGTCTGAAGCCCCTACACCTACCCCTGCTTGGCATCCACGCCAGGGGCCATAGCCTCACCATTCCAAACCCCACGCCTACCAGCTCTGGGGGACCTTGCTGCCCTGACTCCTGCCAAAGCGTGGCTCTCAGAGAACCTGGGCAGCATCTGGAAAGTCACTGAGGAAGAACTGGAGAAGGCCAGCGACTCAGGCTCAGTGACGACGATGCCGAGTAAGGACAGGGATGTTGGACCTGGTGCTGCCCTGGGAGAGCAGGGTGCCTCTTACGGCTGAACATTTCCCTGGCTTCGAAGTTTATGTCCCTTCTCACTACATCCCTCTCATCAGCATTTCTGCTCCTGCATCCTCTCTAAACAGTGTGGTAAGACAACTGGTGCACCCATGGCCAGCAAAGCCACCCCAGTGTGCACAGGCTGCAGCAGAATCCAGAGCAGGGCCAAGTAGACATTTGGCCTGAGGCCTGTGCACACAGCGCCCCACAGCGGGGGGCCTGGCAAGGGCATTAATCAATCACAGGCTGCGCCCACAGCTTGACTACCTGCTATCCACAAGGAGGCAACTTGCTGGTCTCTTCCCTCAGGGCCCACAGGGGTGAAGGATGAACAGCTTTGACTTACCCGCTTCCCTGGTGCAACAGGGGGTAGAGGCGGGCAGGTGTACGGTGCTTACCTTGTGGTCTAGCTCAGCACTGGCCTTTGGCTGTTGCTCCTGGCAGGGTGGCAAGGTCTCAGAGTCTAGGTACGGCCCAAGGGATGATGGCCTCATGAGGCTCAGGAGCCGGCTGAGCTCTGCCAGCTGGGGAGAAGAAGAGCAGCCATTACTCTCCATGGTGGCAGCTGAGTGCTTGGGCGCTGCAGGGACCCTTGGCCTGGCTGTCTCGGCTGGCAGAGTGTAGGCTCTGGAGCCAGGCCACCAGCTTCCAGAGCCTGGACCCACCACTCACTTGGAAGCTTGGTCTTCTGTGTAGAATGAAGATAAGCACACACCTTCCTCCCAAGAAGGAGGTCATAGTCATATGGGACCTGGTTCAGGGAGAGTCCTCCCTTAAAGGAATGAACTAGGAAGAGCTCCGTGGGCCGGAGGTAGAATCCACTGCCTGGAGTAAGCACACTCATGGTTGAGAAGAACCGAGCCCAGCAGAGGGGGTCTCCTCAGACACCAGGAAGACCCTGCCCACCCTCAGCTGCTGCTCACTCTGGGGCCCACTCTCCTGCGTCCCTTTCTTTTCCGTTTAAACTTATTTATGTGGGGCCTGGGCACGGGCTCAGGAAAGAAGAGAGATTGTGTATGACCCGCCCCCCACACACCTTTCACTGGGAACAATGACTGACCAGCCTGGCCCTGAGCGGGTGGGTCTGCCTTGGGCCAGCTGTAGTGTGTGTGTTCTTGACTTCTTGTAGGAAAGATTTCCCATGAATCCAGGTGACTATGAGGGTACATTCACTGAAGCTGGGGACAGTGAAACAAGGAAGGACTTAGCATAGAGGAAGCAACAGGAGAGGCCAGGCTGGGCTGCCTTGGCTCACTGGGAAGTCAGAGAAGAGGGGGCCTTGGGGACAGGTTCAGGGGATTAGCCCGAGACAAGCTGCCAGCTGCCCACTGCCTTGGAGTTTAGGAGATCCAAGCCTGTGAAGAAAGAAGTGGGGAAGAAGTGAAAGAAAACAGCAAGGGCTGCTCCTCAAAGGGAGAGGGCAGGCTGGGTCCTTTGTCTGGAGGCTTTGATCACTTTCTTCAAGGTGGGAGTCTCAGGGGAGGCCTCAGGGGAGGGTCTCAGTAGACTAGTCATCAGGGCTCCAGGTGGGCCCTTTCAGGCAGCCTCTAGCTGATGGCTTCACCCATCTGGTTTTGCTGCTTTTCTGAGCCTGGAGCTGAAACACAACTGAGGCCTGGGTGTTACCTCCAGGGAGGAAAGGCTCAGGGAGAAGAGGTTGCCCCGGGGGCAAGGTTCTAGTTTCCCTGGTTCCGCCCCCTGCCAGGCACTCAGGCCCTCCTGCCTGGGTGACCGTCTGCACCTGGCTGTCGAGATCGGTTGTCTTCCCCTATTTCACTTGCCAAGCAGTTGTCCTGGCTTCTTACTATCTCGCCTCAACGCTGCTCGCCCTGTTTCATCCTACCACTGCCGCGTTTTCCTTCCAGAGAAATTGAAAGCAAATCCAAATGTTGTATCATTTTACCCACAAAGAGCTTCTAACAGTAAAGGATAAGGATTTCCACCCCGCCCCCCATCACAATACCATTTCCTTGCCCAATAAAATTACCCAGAATTAATTCTTCATATGATCTAACAACTGCGTTCAGTTTTCTCAGATGGTCTCAAACAGATCCTTCTATTGTTGCTTTGTTGGAATGGGGATTCCCCGACAAGGTCCGCTCCTTGCATTTGGCTGAAATGTCACTTAATCTGCTAGCTACACCACCCCACCGCCTCCATTTAAACGGCTCATCCTCTGTGAACAAATGGGCCAGTGTTCCCTACCCCCTGGACAGTGGTCCATGTAAGTCCGGGTGTCTGAAGTAAGCAATTCTTCCTGCCTAGCCCCTGCACCTGGTTTGGGCAGCCTCAGCCAAACTCCAGCAAGGCCTATCCAGCTACCCTGAAGCTGATCTGTGGCAGGGCAGGCAGGGAGGCTCCAAGTTCCTGGCCCCAGGAAGGGGTGGTGGTGGTGCAGTATGAGGGAGCAGAGTGGGGGGAGTTCACAGAGGCATCATCTCTTCAGAAGCAGCAGTCGCAGGGTAGCCAAAAAGGCAAGGTCTCCAGCCTCAGAGCCTAGCTCCCTGCTTGAGCCTAGCCCTGCCCAGCACACCTGGCTTCCTTTCTCTGACTCACCCTCAGACACCTGCTCAGCCCCTCAGTGGCTGCAGGCTTAGACAGACCAAAAGAGCAGCTGGGCTGAGTGCTAGGAGTCAGGCCTTACTCCTGAAAGGGAGCCAGGGTTTCCTGGCTTAGTGTCTGATCCTGTCACAAGGGGAGAGGAGGTGGCAGGGAGAAAGGGAAGGTTCTCAGTGAAGAGAGGCACCATCTGGAGCTTCACCAAAACCAAGTATGCTGCCTTGCTCAGTCCTTGCAAGTCTGGGGATAGTTTTTGAAACAGCCCTGCCTGCTCAGGGCTCACAATTGCAGTCAGTGTTCTCACAAGCAGCCCTCGGGGCAGGCAGCCTCGCCTCAGCTGGACGCTCCCTGCCAGGGAGCCGTGGGCGGGGCAGGGCAGGGAAGCAGGCTGCGCTCCCCATGTTTCCCCTCTCGCTCTCTGAAGAGAGCTGCACTCCGCTGAGTGTAGTGCTCCTGTCCCTTCTGATTGCTTATTTTCTTTTGGTTACAGCTCAGCCCGGGCTTCTCTCTCCCGGATAACAGCTTGTTTGGGCCCCGTGGGTCCTGTCTGGGCCTGGGCCAGGCCGCGTATCTCCCCACCTTGTCCCCATTTCTGAGAGCTGGCTCCGTAAACACTCTGCCCTTGAGGGCAGACACCTCTAGGCCAGAAGCAAAGGTCTCCACCGCAACCGTCTGCCCAACAAGAGGACACAGGCCAGTTGCAGTGCGGGCACTGTCCACATAGCCTGTCGTTCCCGTGCTCAACCCTGACTGCTCGCCCACTTGCCCAAAGGAGAAGGCCAGAGTCTTGCATGCTTGGTGACCCAATGGCCCCTGTTGCTTCTGGGAGCCTGTACCCAGAGTAGTCGCTCTGACCAGACACTGCACAACCGCCCCTCCCCTTCTTCCAGCCCCAGCTCCAAGTGCTTGATGAGGCTCACCCGGCTCTCCAGCTCCCCTCAGCCCTCCCACCCATATCACTCCACTTGCCAATCCAGACTCTGCACTACTTGTATTTCCACGGCATTTACTTCAACTTCAAACAGGCTGTGTAACCTATTCGTCTGTTATTATCTGTGCCCCTTTCCCTCACCAGAATGTAAGACCCAGGAGGGCAGTTTCATTCATTGCAGTGGCCCTGGAGCCTAGCACAGTGCCTGGCACATGGTATATGTTTAATCTGTATTCACACTGGTAAACAGCCAGGCAGGGCTGCAGCTATGCAAACCTGATCCCCCTTCAGCCATCTGAAACCCATGTTTTCCAAACCCCAAACCGGAAGCCATGGCCTGACAAGAGGCTTGCTGTGTGGCAAGAGGTGGACTGAGACAAGAAACAAACTCTGACTTCCCTCCAAACCTGTTCCACCTGTGCCTTGCCTGGCTCAGTCAAGTGCCTCTCCACCCTGCCAGACATACAGATTTGGAGCCCTGCTCACCTCCCTTCTCTCACATTGCAGGTCCCAGTGGCTGTCCTTAGGAAATACACTTAGACTCTGCCTACTTCTTGCCACCGGAGCCACCCTCTTCCCTGGCCAAACTGCCATTATCTCTTACCATGGTTACTGCCATCACCTCTTTCCTCCTTACCCTCAATAGTCTATTTTCAATACAGCAGCCAGCGTATACTGTAAAAATTTTATAAACCAGTTTCATTTTTTCTTTCTAAAACCTTCCAATGGAGTTCCACTTTGGCAAGAAAGTCAAAGCACCCACCATGGCCTAGAGGTGCTGGATGATTGAGTCCCTTCTTTCCTTTCCGACTTCTACTCCTGCTCCGCCCTCAGCCTTCTGCTCCAGCTGCACTGGTCTCTGTTTTTCTCCAACATAAGAGACCTTTGCCTGCCCCGGGGCCTTTGTGCTTGCTGTTGCCTCTTCCTCCAGAAACCGGCATGACTCCTTCAGGTCTGTGCTGGAATGTCCCTATTCACCCCTCTCAAATAGCATCCTCCCAACCTCCCTATCCTCTTTATCTGGCTTTATTTTTCTCCATAGCACTTGTCACAACCTGGCATGCCAAATATTTACATCTTCCCCAGTCCCTGTGTCCACCTCCCCTGGCCCATGAGTTTCATGGGGGAGGGACTGAGTTCTGCTCAGGACTGTTTCTTTAGTGACCTGAGAAGTGTCTGGAGCGTACTAGTGCCTGAGGCCAAAACTCCACTGTTCCTGGGATAGTCCGGGGACTCGCAGGAACCACAGGCAGGAGTGCAACCCCGAGACTCCTGGGAAATGCCAGCCTCGGCGTTGTCGTGTCCTGCCCACCCACAGGAGTGCTGCTCGTCAGATTTCACGTCCAGCACCTGCCCCTCCTCCTGCTCCCAGGCCGCAGACTGCAGCCTGAGTGGGGAGCCAAGCAATGCAGGCACCAGGGACTTCTGCCCAGCATTGTCCTGAGAATTCTCTGCCTGGCACTCACCCCAGATCCCCTCTTCCCACAGAGTCAATGTGCAGCTGCTGCAATCCCCCTTCCTAGTGAATCAGTCAAGAGGTTTATCAAGCTCTTGTACACTGATGAAGAATGAGGAAGGGATGGCCCTTGCCTATCTGCATCCAGAATTAAAGCTCAAGAGACCAGCAGGGCACCTGCAGCATGAAGTCACAGGTGTGGTCCAGGCTGCCACCACAGTGAGAGCCAAGGGAGTGGTTAGGGGAGTGCAGGTGGCTTGCTGCAGGGTCAAGGGCAGGACTCTGGAGCCAGGACCTCTGGGCTTGAATCCAAGACTCACGGCTTTGCTGCTGTGCGATCCTGAGAGTCCCCCTAACCACAGTTATCTTGGTTTCCCCATCTGTAAAAGATGGGTGATGAACAGAGTTCTTCCCACCCGGCGCTGCTATGAGGAAGAGGTGAGCTTTGAGATGGCCCCTGGGATACCACCAGTGCCAGCTGGCGTGTTAGCCACCACTATCCAGTGGGGAGTTACGGGTGCAAAGGAAGAAGTGTCAGTACACAGCGCTGTGCGCAGAGTCATGGGGCTGGCTTGCGGAGTGGGGGGGCGGGTGGCCCTGGGAGGCCGCCCAGGGAAGTTGGGAGAAGGCATGTGGGCTGAACGTGGGCAGCCATGGGGCTGAGGTGCTCTTTGAAGGTGTATTTCATGAGGATCTGTCTGACGAGCCAGACTGGACAGGGGAGTGCCTGCAGCGGGAGACCTAGAGGAGGCTGTGCAGCAGCCTGGGGCTGGCAGGGAGTAGAGCTGGGGAAACACGCAGAAGGGGAAGGCTGTGGACAGGCCCAAGCTGGTCCTTCCTCGCTTGAGCCCCCGGGAGTCTGACGCAGCGCTGCACAGCTGTCCTGCAGACGCCTCTCCTCAGCACGAGCACTGACTCAGCCTTCAGGGCTTGGCGCGGGACACCTCTAGGAGCCATTGCCTCAGCCCGCCTCCCTTACACTCTCTCCTCTGAAAGCGTTTCTTGGTGCGGAATCTGCAGGCCCCCATCACACTCCCCTCATTGTCCTGGGCACAGGCTCTGGTCAATAAAGACAAAGCCAAGCAAACTTGAATTGACCCTGGTATTGGAGTCACCTTCTGTCTTTCCGGTCACTGCCAAGTGTTGTTCATGGGTGTCTACCCCTATTCGCCACCCGCAGCTGGTCCTTCCTTCCCTGTCTTGGCACTCCGGCCCCCGCTGTACTCCACTGACACTGAGCTCTGCTCTCCTGGGGCTCCGTGACGCCCCAACCCTGGCCGACACCACTGCTTCTGTGCCAGGTGGCCCTCTGGAGCCCTCTGGGACCACTTGGTCTTGTCACCTGTTCCCTCCCCTCTGCACCCCTGCCTGCCCCTAACCACGTGGCAACCCCCACAACACTGACTGGTTCCTCTGTTCTTCTCCACAGAGATGTCCTCTCATCAGGCCGTCACTTCTGTGAAGTGACCCCTGTGCAGGCCACTCCCTCACCTGCCTCTCCCAAGGTCTCTACCTGGGACCTTGCACACATCTTGGGAACTCACTTCCACAGGTGAGCACTCACAGACTGAGCACCCACAGAGTTCCTGGGTGTGCCCAGCACTGTGCTAGGCACCAAAGGGCAGCAGTGAGCAAACACCTTTTGGTCCTGGCCTCCAGGAGCTGCTGGTGCGTGTATGCGTGTGTGCGCATGTACTGTGTACATGGGTACACAGACCTGAACAAACAAACAAGAAAACATCAGGAGGTAAACACGACAGATCATTTAAACACTGGGTGACAGTAGCAGGGTACTTTGGGTTGGGTGTTCAGGAAAGACTTCCTGGAGGAGGCGATACTTAAGCCGGAATTGAAATGACAAGAAGCTCCAACCATGCTAAGCCCTAGGGGAAAGGCATTTAAGGCAAAGGGGACAGCTTGGGCAAAAGCCAGGCCAGGCTTGCTCTGATAGTAAACCCAACTGGTCCCCTTTCTGAGCTGCCTCCCTATAACGTCAGACTCAGTCATACTGTCTACCCTGCCCCAGAATGTGCTGGAACATTCTCTCTGGACAAGGGGTTACACAGGCTTGCCCAGTACACTTTCAGTGACCAGAAGTGCACAGGCTTTCGGCAGGCCTACCTTGCGGGTGTGAGTGAAAGGTCCCTGCAAGAAGGCTGCAGGCATAGCTTTATGGAGAGCAGGGGAATGGGGGAAAAGACAAACCCTACCTCCTCACTGACCCAAGAATTTCTAACACTGGGACAGAGGGACAATGAAAGGGAGCAGTTTTACCCAAACGGTGTTTGTTTTCCACCTCCGAAAAGCGATCTAAGCAGGGGCTGTAGAAAGAGGGGACGGGCGGTGTGTTTCAGTGGGCGGCTTTGCTTTGGAGAGATGGGAAACTCTGGAGGCGGACGGCGGGGGCGGATGCACAACACTGTGCATGTGCCTAAGGCCACTGGCCTGGGTGCTTCAGAGTGGTTAGAACGCTACACTTCAAATACTAAGGTGGTTAAAAGAAACAGTTAAAATGGTAAAGTTTAGTTAGATATATTTGACCACAATTTTTTAAAAAGTAATAATAATATGTTCCCTGCTCCCCTCTCTGTCCTCAGAGCCTAGCACCTAGCAGGCTTATAAAAAGAGTAATTGTCCAGAGTAGGAATACGAGTGAAAAATTCAACCTCAAGCCCTGGCTGGTGTAGCTCAGTGGATTGAGCGCGGGCCTGCGAACCAGAGGATCGCGGTTCGATTCCCAGTCAGAGCACATGCCTGGGTTGCAGACCAGTTCCCAGCAGGGGACGCATGAGAGGAAACCATACATTGATATTTCTCTCCTTCTCTCCTTCCCTTCCCCTCTAAAGATAAATAAATAAAGTAAAATAATTAAAAAAAAATTCAGCCTCAGCTTGGGTCTCCTGGCTGAGGCTCTTAACCTTTGGGAAAAGCATGGGGATGATGAGCAGGCCACAGGGAGACCTGTTCCCTCGCCCACAGGGTTCCAGGCTCCAACGGACACCCCCGAGGGAGGCACAAACTCACCCGGGCCTCCTCCTGCCAGAGAGAGAGTGTCTCCTGCTGGTCCAGCAGCCGAGCAATGACCACGAGGCTGAGCTGGCTTCGAAGCTGCCTGTGAGAGAAGGGAGGGGGGACTGAGGGCGTGACATTTGGAGGGGAGGGGTGTTGACATCCACGTGCCGCAGGACACCCACCAAAAGACAGGTCAGCAAGGGAGAGGCCACTCTCTGTCTGAAAGTCCTCAGGCTTCCTCCTCTGCTTTACAGCATTTGTTTTATTTTTTAAAATTATTTTTAGTTTATTTGATTGGTTTTAAAGACAGAGAGGGAGAAATATCAATTTGTTGTTCCACTATTTGTGCATTCATTGGTTGATACTTGTATGTACCCTGACCAGGGATAGAACCTGCAATCCGGGCATATTGGGACCACATGTTAACCAAATGGGCTACCCGGCCAAGGCCACGTTTGTTTTAGAAGTAACTGAATATGCATAATGGGAAAGTTAAAAAATAAGCGCAAAGAAAAAATTAACTAATTTTAGAGGCTAGCATTGCAGTGTTATGTCCTCTCAGCCTGTCTCTCTCTCTCCTTAGGCGCACCTTTGGGTGCATAGAGATAGGACGTATCAACCCCTTACGCAGACCTTTGCCTCTTCCTTCCTTTGCACAGAACCTTTCAGCCCACACAGGGCAGAGGAAAGTGGGTCCCCTGGAGCAGCGGAGGCCTAACTTCGTTGTTGTTTTTCACTTAGCATCCAGTGACTTCCTTTTGGAGAACCCCGCCTCCATCCAGCCCAGACCCGAGCTCCCCATGTGGGCGCAGGAGCCAGGCCTGGTCTGGCACAGGCCCTGTGAGTAAAGAGCTGATTGGCAGCCTGGGGAGTCTTGGCTGGAACTATCAGCAGAGCCACTACTTTGGCAGGAGGTTGGTCCTACAGCTGCTGGTGGCCATCCTGCCTCCCCGCGGGAGAGCCTGAGGGATGAAGCAGACTGGTTAGAGAGAGAGCCCGACAGCCCCCAGGCCATTCCATTGATAGGTCAGTCAGTTGCTCGTGTGAGCCAGTAAAGTAGCTTTTGCTTGAGTCAGTCTGAGCTGGGCTTCTGAGTCTAGCACCAGCCGTGACTCATTCACGATGGGGCTGGTATTTCCTCTCTTCATGTGTGAAGACTTCTGATGTGAGTTTAAGATGCTAATGTTTGGGGCTCTGATTTTTCAGGGTCATTGAGGGCTGGAGTGAGCAAAAAGAGGAGAGGAGGGAAGTGGAGACCAAAGACTGGAGAGAGATGATGGGAAGAAGGATTCAGGCCACCCCCACCCCTGCCCACACTACCCCTGCCACAGCCTCTACCATGAGGTGCACCCCCATGCACTTGTTGCTCCCCTATGGTGGCAGAGGTGAGCACCCAGCATGGATTTCAATGTGGCTGCAGCCCCTAATTCCTGCGGAAAGCCACCACCAGGGGAGGCAAAGGAGAGGTGCTGAAGCCGGAGGAAATTATTGGGCTGGAACTGGCTCCTTGGAGAACTGCCTAGGTGACAACATGGGAAGAGTCCCACAGTGTGGACTGGACCGACACCTTGAGAACTGAAGGAAGGAGGGGGAGTGGGAACAGCAAGCTGAGGGCAGCACTCAGAAATGATGTTTCCGGAGAGAAGTAATTAGGTAGCTGGTGCTGAAGGGTCCCCTGCACCCTCCACCCCAGGGCCTGAGGCTGCTCAGGTCCCCCATGGTGCTGGGGACTGAGGGGGGCTGGGCAGGCTGGCATGTGAACCAGTGGCTTCATTTATTTGCTTCAACAGCACTTAGTCAAGAAGTCTAAGGAATCAACAAAGCAAGAGGCTCTTGATTAAACAACCCCAAAAAAGACAGCAGCAGGCAGTACCACTATACACCAGGATGAACATAAAAGGGGGGGAAAGGAGCAATGGGGGGAGGGGGGAGGGGTTCGAGCACAGCTGGCGGGGAAAGTAAATTGGGCCTCCACTCAGCAAACTGTTTGGAAGATGCACTGAGGCTGTCCACGTGCCCGCCTCCTGACCCAGCAGTCCTCCTCCTAGGTACTTGCTCCAGAAATAGGAAAGGCAGAAGTGCAGTGTCACCGAAATGGGTAAACGGATCCATACCACTCCGCCCAGCGCAGAATGACCATAAAGGACATACAAGCGCATCCGACAGCTGGGATGATCCTCTCGGTGTCGTGTGAAAGAGGCCAGATAGAGAAGAATACATGTGTACGATTTCACTTACATAAAGAACAAGAACAGGCAAGTACCTGTCAAGTGAGGACACACTGTGGGGAGCAGGTTCTGCTCATGTTTTATTTCTTGATCCGGGTGCTGGTTCCGTTCCCCATGTGTTTGACTTGTGGAAACCAGTGAGACATACACTTAGGTCTGTGTTCTGTTCTGCTTGTGTGTTACAGTTCAGTCGAATTATTACTTAAAGAAGGAATTCAGCTGGGAGAGGAGACAGAATGGCCAGATTTGGCCATTAAAAATACAGGATGCCCAGTTGAATTTGAATTTCATATAGATTAACAAAGAAGACTTTTTTAGCATAAATTTCTACCATGCCATATTTGCATCTTATCTGGAAACCTTGGGAGGGTCTGGCCATCCCATCTATTCTTGACCCAGAAAACTTGACCTTAACCAGTGTGGGGACTTCCCTCACCCAGTCTCCTGTTAACCTTGACCCTTTTCTGCAGAATGCCTCAGCATGCCCACCCACCTTAGGAATCCTGAGGAGAGGCAGCCCCATCTGGACTGCACCGTGGGACAGAAAATAGGGGCCCCTCATCCTGGGGTCCCCCACACTAGACTCCCATGGGCACAGTCAGATGCTGTCCAGCCCCAGCCCCATCCTCCAGTCCCCCCCCCCCCATCATGGCCCCAGTCACATACCCTGCATGGCTTCCCCCTGGTAGTCAGTGAGGGCCCCCTCTCCAGCTGTTCCCGGGAGCCCCAGAAGCAGCTGGGCAGGGAACACAGTGGGAGGTAAATGACCTCTCTGAGCTGCTGCTCTGAGCAAACTTGCAGCCAGAGTCAGAAGTGCTGCATGTGTGTCAGTAATCCAAGCCAGGACTGGGAAGAGCTCCTTTATCACAGTGGGAAGGCAGGGAGGGGCCACTCTGGGGGTGCTGGAGGGCCAGGAAGCAGAGCTGGGGTGGCTCTAGAAGGGAAGAGGCAGGTGGGTGGGTCGGGACGGGGCTGATGTCCAGAAATGAAGAAAAGCACCAGAAAAAGCACTGAGGGTGTGAATGGATAAAAAGAAACCCACATCTGAGAGTGGCACTCCCCCTCACTGTCTGCCTGCCCACTGCCTTTGATGCTAATGGCTCTCCCTGCCTTTTAAACACAGTCCCGTGCACCCGCAGTTCCCACAGGGAGAAGGGACAGAACCATAAGCTTTTAGACTGAAAACTCACTTTGCAGAGGTGAAAAAGCAAGTGGTGAAAAAGCAAAAGAGGTGAAAAAGATGCACCCCAAACACCATCCAAACTGTGCAGAGGGCAGGCAGAGGGTCAGGCCCCACTGAGGTTGGCCTGGGCTCCTCCTCCCGGAAAGCTGCCCGACCCCACCCTGCAAAGCCTCCTCGGAACTCAGACCAGCCAGACAAAGGAGGATGCAAAAGCCACTGGAGCCATACCAGCCACTGTCATATAAGGCAAGGCTCCAGCCCTACCACTCGTTAGCAGCAGGCCAGGCCTCCGCCTGGGCCCTGCCCCCGCCACTCCCACAGGCCTCCAGAAGACCAGGACACTGGATTAGCACTCAGAGGATCCCAAAGTGCTGGGAAATGATTTTCCTAAACAGCCAGCAAAGCCGGGAAGTGGAATGCAGGCACACTGCTTCCCAGCCTCTAGGCCTCCTTTCAGCTCCTGCAAAGGGCAGCTTAGCACCCTGCAGAGGCTGTCAGGACAACCTCACAGTCAAGGCGGACCCCTCTGGTGCCCCTGGTCTTCACTCGTTCAGAGGGGAACCAGGCCCTACCAAGGCTGAGCTACCCTAAAAGGACATCAGGCATCTGGCCAAAGGGGTGAGCTGTCTTTTCTCAGTCTCTAGGGCAGCCGAGGAAGCAACAACAGTGGCCTGTTCTGCCTGTGGAAATGCAGCCCAACACCCTGCTGCAGGGCATGTGCCTCTCCGGGCAGCCCAGGCTTTCACTTCAAGGCTGCATCTCTCGACACCTGCTCTCAGTTCTTGTGGAGTCTTCCATCCTGCCCGTGAGCAGTGCTACCCAGGCACAAAAGACCAGGGCCTGGGTTAAGAGATGAGCGGGACAGAACCACAGTGGGACAGGAAGAAGCCACAGGGCAGACAGCCACAGACCTGCTCATCGGCCACCGTGTGGCAACAAGCATGAAGGGTCTACCCCCTTCCACAAGGACAAAACCCACAAAGAGCTGGCACTCCACCGGGACAGTAGGTACCACAGGGAACTCTGCACGGGCCCATTTTGGCACACGTTCCAAATCATGCTAAACATCTGTGTGAGGGGAGGCGGGGAGGGGTGTTCTTTGCAGAGGCAACACCTGGGAGAGGCCTGAGGCAGGTGACAATGACAGTCTCTCCTAGGATGTAGTGCTGGTTACACAGACGGTCTCCTTTGCAAAGTGCACTGCACGTGGCCTCTGACAGGTGTCTTCCTGTATGCATATTATAACTCACTAAAAAGGTTACTATTAGTTAGTAATAAATGAAGTTCATACAGACAATCACAAGGCAACTTCCTCTCTCCCTCCCTATGTCTTTCTTTGTTTTGGTATTATAACCTTAGACTTAGAAAACACCTTAAAAGTCCCCTCCTCTAACATCTCTCTGTTCATGCACATACTGAAGGAAGTCTCATTGTTTCCTGGGCCACCCTTCTCGAGGTCCTCTAGCCACAGTTTTTTATCTTTTGCCATCTCGGTCCTCCGAGGGCCTTGGGGGTTGCCACACATTCCCGGCCGGGGAGGCGCTCAGCGCTGAGGCCGGTGTTCATCTTCAGGGGCCCCACGGTGCTGTGCAGTTACCAGATTGAGCCCAAAATCTGTTTCACACATCTGGCTGTCAAATATCATTTCCTACATTTTGTTCTTAATTGTGCAGCTGGGTCTCTCTTTTC